TTGTGCTAACTTACATGTGGGACAGAGGTTTTTGTGACATGAGTCACAGCTTCAGAAAAACGCAGCTACATGAGTGACTGACTGACCTAGCAGCCATTAACAGGCCGACCTGAGATGGTCTCCTCCCTCAAACCAAAACCACCTCTGTGTGGAGACACTTGACGACAACTACACTCGTTACTGGAAGTCAGTGCAATAAAAGCGTTGCTAATAAAAATCCAACACTTTAACAATACACTGTTCAACAAGTAAAAACATGTAAACTGTGGAGAAGTGATATCTGCTCTGTCTGCTTTCTCTCATCCACCTCCTCTATGTTTTACACAAGCACAGCGCTGAGCTCAGCTAATAGTGAATTGCTACCAAAATAAAAGCTGTCTGTTGAGTTTAGTTTGTGAAGTATCTTAAAATATGGCAAATTGAATTAAACATTACAGTTGCTTTTCTAGAAACAACATGTAGTTTTATTTAAAATATTAAATTCTTATCCCGTTTTTAATTAAATGAAAACCAGGCTGACACAGGAACTGCATAGCTAATATGAACTCTTTAATAATTATTTATTTGTATCACAAGTCATATCGTCATCACAATATTGAACACTGTTATTGCACATCACAGATATTCCTCATATCCTGCAGGGCTAGTTTAGATAATGAGCAGCCTGTTGCCTCTGCTGTCAATCAAACACGTACACCGACACACAGTCAGAGAAACTGGACTTTAGAAAGTTTACTTCTGTTTATATTTTTATATTTATCTTTTTATTGGTAATGAAAATAATCAGCAGATTGTCAAATCATCTTTGTTTTGACTCAAACTTTTTTCTCTTCATTAGTGAGTGGTGGTCTGCAGGAGGTTTTAGATGAACATAAGATCAGTCTGAAGACGAGATGTAAACATGTGACTGAAGGAACTGATAAAACAGGAAGTGGAACCCTCCTCAACAGGATCTACACTGAGCTCTACATCACAGAGGGACAGAGTGAAGACGTTAATACCCAACATGAGGTGAGGGAGCTTGAGACAGCTTCCAAGATGGAGACCCTCCATGATACTCCAATCAAGTACCACAAGATCTTTAAAGCCTTACCTGACCAACAGAGACACATCAGAGTGGTTCTGACGAACGGCGTCACTGGCGTTGGAAAAACCTTCTCAGTGCTGAAGTTCACTCTGGACTGGGCAGAGGGCTTGGAAAACCAAGATGTCAGTCTGGTGGTTCTGCTTTCGTTCAGGGAGCTGAACCTGATCAAAGATGAGCAGTACAGTCTTCTCACACTGCTCCATGTTTTCCATCCAACATTACAGAAGGTCACAGCAGAGCAGCTCGCTGTCTGTAAACTTTTGTTCATCTTTGACGGCCTGGATGAAAGCAGACTTTCACTGGATTTCCACAACAATGAGGTTGTGTCTGACGTCACACAGAAGTCTTCAGTCAACGTGCTGTTGACAAACCTCATCAAGGGGAATCTGCTTCCCTCTGCTCTCGTCTGGATAACTTCCAGACCTGCAGCAGCCAATCAGATCCCTCCTGAATGTGTTGACAGGGTAACAGAAGTACGAGGCTTCACTGACACCCAGAAGGAGGAGTACTTCAGGAGGAGAGTCAGTGATGAAGATCTGTCCAACAGAATCATCTCACACATCAAGACCTCCAGGAGCCTCCACATCATGTGTCTAATCCCAGTTTTCTGCTGGATCACTGCTACAGTTCTGGACCACATGTTGACTACAGACCAGAGAGGAGAGCTGCCCAAGACCCTGACTGATCTGTACTCACACTTCCTGCTAGTTCAGACAAAGAGGAAGAAGCAGAAGTATGATGAGGGACATAAGAAGAGTGAACAGGAGCTGATGGAGGCTGACAGGGAAGTTCTTCTGAAGCTGGGGAGGCTGGCGTTTGAACAGCTGGAGAAAGGAAACATCATGTTCTACCAAGAAGACCTGGAGCAGTGTGGTCTTGATGTCACAGAGGCCTCGGTGTACTCAGGAGTTTGTACAGAGATCTTCAAAAGAGAGAGTGTGATCTTCCAGAAAACAGTCTACTGCTTTGTTCATCTGAGCATTCAGGAGTTTCTGGCTGCAGTCTACATGTTCCACTGTTACACCAACAGGAACACCAAAGTACTGAAGGACTTCCTGGGTCAAAAACATGTTAATTCAACCCTGGATGTCTTTCTGAGGAAAGCCATGGAGAAATCCCTCAAAAGTAAAAATGGCCACCTGGACCTGTTTGTTCGCTTCCTTCATGGCCTCTCTCTGGAGTCCAACCAGAGACTCTTAGGAGGCCTGCTGGGTCAGACAGACAACAGTCCAAAAATCATCCAGAGAGCCATCAACAACCTGAAGAAGATGAACAGTGATGATATCTCTCCTGACAGAAGCATCAACATCTTCCATTGTCTGATGGAGATGAACGACCACTCAGTCCATCAGGAGATCCAAGAGTTCCTGAAGTCAGAGAACAGATCAGAGAAGGAACTCTCTGAGATCCACTGCTCAGCTCTGGCCTACATGCTGCAGATGTCAGAGGAGGTTCTGGATGAGTTGGACCTGAAGAAGTACAACACATCAGTGGGGGGACGACTGAGACTGATTCCAGCTGTGAGGAACTGCAGAAAGGCTCAGTAAGTCCAGATGTGATTAACATTATAAATCAATGTAAAGTTGAAGCCATCAGTATTAGAGTTAAGATTATATTGTTTAGTTCTTAACAAAGAACGTCTTTTCACATGTTTTTTCGTTCTAAATAATTTTGATTTATAAACCAGTTTACAGACGAGTCCATTCAAATACCACCAGAGAGAGAGAGGGAAAGGAGAGAGCTTCTTTAATAATTAAGGTTCATTTAGTGTAGCAGAGCCTTTCCAGTGAGCCATGATGCACAGTAGCAGCACCCTGACTGTGTTTGACCTGAATGTAACAGAAACTTAATTAGTGTCATTGGTAACACCTGTGTTTACCCTCCTGTTTCATATCAAAATGGCTCCTGTGAAAAAGGTTTATTAAACTATTAATGCAATAGGAGTCATTCAATTAATTTAATGGGAGATGAAAAGCAGCTGGAGCAACTTAATAATATTCATCTGGGGCTGCATTAGTGAGATTTTCACGGTACAATAACCATCTCAGAATCAAAGTTTAAGGGTATACAGTATTACACAGTTATTAATTATCAGTTACAGTAATGAAACAGAAAGATGTGTTCTTTTGTTTGTTTGTTTTTTGGTTGAATGCTTTACTATAATTTCCTATATATTTCCTATATTTTTAATAACACAAATACAACAGAATTCAATACCGTAGATAAACAAATGTACATAGTATGATTTCATACCACAGTATACCATGGTATTGATATACAGCTGCAACCCTAGATGGAAAAAAAGATGCACAAAATACAAACAAGAAGCACATGACTGAGGTAAATACATATGAGTGCAGTTACAACCTATAGTGATTATACAGCTCATTGAACATCATGTTAAAATAAAGTTTAACAAACACAAATCACAGCACTTGTGGACAGGAGGAGCTCAAGTTTCAAACCACAGACCTTGTGATCAATGACTGACCAGCTGAGATACAGCCGCTCATGTTAATGTGCTTTGTGATGCAAAATGCACAGAAGTCTACTTTTACAATAAAATGCCAGATTTTATTGTACTTAGTAAATTTATATTCTGTCATCACAGACTTTCTGGCTGTGGACTCTCAGAGACTCACTGTGAAGTTGTGGCCTCAGCTCTGAAGTCCAACCCCTCCCATCTGAGAGATCTGGACCTGAGTTACAACGACAAGCTGCAGGATTCAGTAGTGAAGCTGTTGTGTGCTGGACTGGAGAGTAAAAACTGTAGACTGGAGACTCTGAGGTCAGTTCATGTATTTTGCTCTTGCTCTTGCTCTTTGTTTGCCTCCGATCCCCAGTTAAAACACTGCACACACACACACACAGCGACAGAGACACAGAGGAGAGAGTTGATGTAAAAGGTTGTAAAAGATGTAAAAGATTATAATTCAAGTTGAATACAAATGTAATAGTTCACAGTCTGGTGACTTTGACCCACACTGAGCAAAGCATAATAAAATATGACCAAGACCTCAATTTAAAATGAAGAACATATTCTGAGTTAGAGAGAAATTTGGACGCTATTAACACTTAACACAGTTTTGTGTTTTGTTATTCAAACATAGACCAAATTTGTGAAGTGTTATTAAGGGAGAATGACTATTGTGGTGGTACAACAACCTTATAAGGCCCATACTGAGCTTCATGGACAACAACTTACTAACTATCATTAAGCAGTAATTAGGAGGTTATTGAGGAAAGAGTCTCAGTTCATGGCTTAGTAGTGTTAGAATATAGTCATGTAGTATAAGGCATTAAAACATGCTTAATAATGACTAATAAAGAGTTAATATGCTACTAATATGCATGCACAAACACACTCTAAAACACACACACAAGCAGCAAGCATATTTCTGAATGCAGGTGTTTGAAGTATTGTGTGTGACTTTGTGTTCTGACTCAACCAGTAAGCAGGAGCATAAATAATACACTGTATTTGTACAGGAAGGTACTTGGTTACATTTAAGATTAAGAGAGAATATGCAGCTCTCTTTGCTCAGTGCACATTTGATCCAGTTATAAAGAAGATTGAGGATGAAGTTCACAGTCAGTGTGTGTTGATGGAGATGACAGTGGTGATGAGGATAGTCTAAATGTGTGAGATACATCAGAACTGCTGGTTTAAAGAGGTTTGTTTTTACTTAAATTATTATTTCTGTCATAAATTCTTATTTATTTGATATTGGCCTTTTTGGAATTCTATAGAAAACATCTGTCTTAATATTATTCATAAAAGGACACATGGTTGTTATGAATCAGAAGAAACAGAAGAAAATGGAATAACAACATGTCTGATTTCATCATTATTACAGACCTGACTGACAGCACGTTATTGATCTCTGTTGACATCAATTTATTCTTTATTCAGATTGAGTCTCTGCAGGTTGTCAGAGATCAGCTGTGATTATCTGGTCTCAGCTCTGAAGTCCAACCCCTCCCATCTGAGAGAGCTGGAGCTGAGTAACAACAAGCTGCAGGATTCAGGAGTGAAGCTGCTGTGTGGTTTTCTGGAGAGTCCACACTGTAGACTGGAGACTCTGGGGTAAGTTCACTGACTCTCTGTTACTGTTGTAGATCTGATATGTTTAATTAACAACTGAACCTAATTTATGTTCATACATAACTTACATCCATAAAGTTGTACATTTGCTTTTGTTCATATTTTCATGTTTGTTGAACTAAATTTAGTCTGCAGTCACAAAGACTTGTGTTTGTTAAAGAAACTGTAGAAAATGTCCACTGTTAGTTGTTAAAGTAAATGAATGTTTATAATTGTTGGTAAATGGTCACATCTGGATACAGAAGATCCTCTGAACTAATATTTGTTTTAAACTGATCAAGTTTACTGAAGGAGAAATATTTCTTTGGTTTCTGTTGATTTCAATGTGTTTTCATAAATAATGTCTGATCATTGGTATTGATCCTTCAGAACCACACACACACACACACACACACACACACACACACACACACACACACACACAGAACAACGCAAATTTTCAAATGCAGCTGTTTAAAGGATCAATATAGTATTGATCCTCTAATTACAGACCTGACTGAGATCAGCAGCATGTTATTGATCAGTGCTTTTTCTTTTTGACATTATAATACGAAATGATCAATATAATAAATAAATAATTTCTATTTCAACTATCAGACAATAACAAATATATTCACTATTTGCTGTTTCCAACATTGTTATAAAGCTATATGATGTTTATACTGACTGAATAGTTTAAACTGAAGATAATTTGATTTTATGACTTAACTATTCCTAAAATAATGATTGTAGATGTCTTTTGTTCACATTTTCTAAACTTGTACATTCTAAACCTTCTTCAGCTCTGAACAGATTATTAAACACTGAATGATTTCAAGCAGGAACATTGTCTTCTAAACTTTCATCTTTTATTCTTTATTCAGATTGTGGAGCTGCAGTTTGTCAGAGATCAGCTGTGATTATCTGGTCTCAGCTCTGAAGTCCAACCCCTCCCATCTGAGAAAGCTCAACCTGAGTAACAACAAGCTGCAGGATTCAGGAGTGAAGCTGCTGTGTGGTTTTCTGGAGAGTCCACACTGTAGACTGGAGACTCTGAGGTCAGAAAACCATTTTTTTCCTTCTGTGCTGAGATTAATATGATGTGAAAGTTGTGCTGACAGTAAAGTGCAGACATAAGGCTGATATTATACTGATCCACACTGAATATCTTAATGCTAAAGTCTGTTTTCTTCTTCAGTGGTTTAGTCCATTGACTGTGGCAGAGCAATGTTGAGCTCCACATTTAAAACCTTCATATAACAAGAAGAATCTACACTGAATAATTCACTCTGAACCTCTTAAACTCTTGATTTTCATCTTTATTTATATTGGTTTTAAAATAAATAATACAAAAAATACACAAATACAATAAATAAATAAATCATCTATTTCAACTATCAGACAATAACAAATATATTCAGTATTTGCTGTTTCCAACATTGTTATGAAGCTATATGATGTTTATACTGACTGAATAGTTTAAACTGAAGATAATTTGATTTTATGACTCCACTATTCATAAAATAATGGTTGTAGATTTCTTTTGTTCACATTTCCCAAAATTCATCCTGACATATTTGACAGCTTTGTGATCTTCAGTTGAATCTTCAATCAGTTTCTGTGTGTTTTTATTTGTGTTTGGCTGCACAACATGAGTTTGTATAGATGGAGCCACTGGTGGAGCTGGCAGAGGTTAAGAGCTGAAGTCACTACGTCTTTATTGAAGCAGCAGCACGTTGTCATTAATATTAATGAGAGCTCTTTTTACCTTTTTGTATTTTACAGTTTTCAACCTGCTGTTGGGTTCAAGTGTTTGGAGTTTCCATTTTCTAAACTTGTACATTCTAAACCTTCTTCAGCTCTGAACAGATTATTAAACACTGAATGATTTCAAGCAGGAACATTGTCTTCTTAACTTACATCTTTTATTCTTTATTCAGATTGTGGGGCTGCAGGTTGTCAGAGATCAGCTGTGATTATCTGGTCTCAGCTCTGAAGTCCAACCCCTCCCATCTGAGAGATCTGGACCTGAGTCACAACGAGCTGCAGGATTCAGGAGTGAAGTTGCTGTCTGATCTTGTGGAGAGTCCACACTGTAGTCTGGAGACTCTGAGGTCAGTAGAGTGTTGGAGTCAGTCCATGCTGGTTTCAGCAGTATTGTACTAAACACAGTTAGTATCAAAGCAAAGATCCAGTATTTGCTGCTTTCCTCAGTGTTGCTGTGAGAGGAGGATGGTGACAGACTTCATGGTTGGACAGAAAGACAGAGAGAGAGAGAACAGTCAGCCAATCAGAGAGCCAGAAGCTTGTTGTGATCATGTGTTTGAGTTGATGTGAAGACGACTGTTGTTGTTGTGTTTATGTCTACAGGAAATAAAGCTGGATTCCAGCTGACAGCATTACAAGATGTACAGAGACAGTGGTCCTCATTCATCCAATCTGATCTCAGTGTTTGTTCTCTCATTTCAACACTAAACAACTGATCAGTTCATCTTTGTCACAGCTCTAAGATCAGTCTAAGTGAAGCCTGCAAACCACTGGATCTCATTTCAGAGAACTATCATTATATTTAGTGACCATGTGGTCTTTGTACAGAGCAGAACCTCTGCTGAAGTCCAGTAATCACAGCTATTGTTCAGTCTTTGTATGAACATGTAGGACCTTTAACATCAGATATATATCTGTCCATTTGTCTTTTGTTTAGTCCAAATATGTTTTATATTATTTTAAACAGACTCCATATTTACAGATCTGTCCTGTAAGATTTCAAAAGCAGATGAAACATTCAAGACTGTGGTTTTTATCAGCTTTGAACCCAAACAGCAGTAAATCCATCATTACAGTGGGCAGTGAATGTCTCTCTGTTTCTGCAGTAATGATGCGTTCAGGGACTCTCAGCACTTTATTTCCACTGTGTACTTCAGTGAAGTCTGCACAGTCAACAGACTTGATGTCCAAAGTGTCTGCAGGTCTGTGAGCTTCAGCTCAGTGTGTTCACTCCAATACGTTAACATGAGAGCTGAAAGGAAGCAGGCTACGCTACACAGCCGCTCACCTTCTGGTCTGAACTGGACTGAAGTCCCTGCTGGTCTTTATACTGGATGTGCTGATGGAGGGAGTCTCTGTAAACACTGATTTATGATTGCTGTTGTCTGTCTTCTTCTCTCCTCAGCTGGTACTGATCTCAGTCAGAGTGTGAGTGGTGAGGAAGGAGGTTGTGTTGGAGGATCAGCTGTGTCCTGATGATCCAGAGAGGTTGAAGCAGCAGCATCAGCTCTGACTGGGCCATGTTACTGGGAGGTAGAGTGGAGAGGAGAGCTTCATCCAGCAGTGACTGACAGAGGAATCACAACCAGTGGAGATGACTCTCAGTGCTGCAGTCTGAACTGCTCTGAGATCAGCTCGACTGTCAGACACAATGTCAACATAACTGTAGATTGAAACTTACTTCAATTGATTTCTTTCTTTGCACCTTGTGGGACGATGGAGAGTTGCAGTTAATTTCCACAATATATTTTGGAATAATTAATATTAGTGCAATAATATATATTTATTATCTTTTAAAATAGTAATTTTTTCTAATTTATCCCAACAGATTGTGTTATTGTAGAAAACTGAGGTAAAGAACTGCAAAGTCTTGTGATATTGATCAATTTTCATTTTGATATTTGATTAATTGTTATTATAAAAGTATTGAACAGAGTTACTTAAAGTTACTGAAATATCTGGATTTTGGTGAGAAGTCAGTGAACATTGGTTACACATTGAACACCAGAACATTTTAATACCTTGTTATATTATTCTACTGACATAAAATGAATCAGCAAAATATAAAATAAGCTCTAATCTTACGTGTCATTGGTAATAATTAAGAATATGTGCATGTATATATTTGTTGTGTTTTCTCATATTGTGAGAGTTTATATTATTGCATCAAAAACACAAATCTGTTTATTGAAATCACATCTTACTTCTGATTGATATAAATCTCCACAATCCAGCTACTATAAATATAAATGATCTCCATGTTGGTGTAAATGAACATTTGTTACAGTTTTATTTCTGACTGAAGAAGATTCAAGTGTTGGTTGCTTAATGATCTCCTGATTTTCAAATAAATAAATCAATAACTATCACAAATATCAGCTTTTTCTCATTTTATAACAGATGAATATTTGCTTGTGAGGAACAGAAATAAGATAAAACCTGAACAAAGTGTGGATTCAATCAAAGCTTTACTGTAGTTTCTCAGTTTGCAGTCGGCTGTTTACGTCTTCATTAGACTCTGAGCATAAAACAAAGGTGGAAAGCCATCTGACTCTGACTCCCACACTGAGAAAGATCATGTTTTATTCACACAATTAAAGTGAATCAGTTTCCAACAAGTGCTCGTCCAGTCTGTTGTAACACAGAAGAATTCAACTTTAGAGACTTTAAGGCAAATTCCATACATGAACAATAAAAAGGAAGCCCCAGAGTTAAACTGAAAACAGGATTAGAAGCTGCTGTCACTCTCAAACTGATTCCCTGGTCTTAATACAGGAAGTCATGTTCAGTAATAACTCATTTTGAGTTGTTCAACTTCTCTGATGACGTCCTCAGTAACAGGAGAAGATGGTGATGATGGAGCTGCAGCTGATTCACTCTGTGGCTCTCAGACTAAAGGCTACTTCACTTATCAACAAGCTGACTACTATAATAGGATCTGTTGGCAGAAATAATATGTGTAATATGTGCCTAACTCATTAGTGTATAATAGTGCCTTAAGTATAATTCATGTGTGCATCAAATTCTGTTTTCAATTCAGTCTCAATACTCAAAAAAAGGACAAAAAAGATTTTTTCTCCTTTTTCATTTGCAGAAATCCTCTATTTTGAAAATTCAAGAAGAAGAAGAAGAAGAAGATAAGAAGAAGCAGAATTTACTGGTGCAAGTTATAGGAAGATATTAAAGGATCAGGTGAATAAAAAGTATTTAATGTCTGTCAGATATTTACAGCAGGTTTAAAGTGTTTATATAAACTCAGCAGTGACAGAATTTCACAGTCAGCTTGTAAAGTGACTGCATCACTTCACTGTGTTGCAGCGCCCTCTACAGGGAAGAAACTGAAAATTAAAGATCAACTTTAAGTTCTTACCATCAGTAAAAGTTAGTGTTTTTCAGTGATTCCATGTAAAATGTTTAAAAAGAAAATTACAAATATAAAAGAGACAAAAGAATTAAATTAGTGCACAAGTTAAAATATATGAATAAAACAGAATACATATAAAACAGAATACTTTAGTGAACAGTAGTGATTAAATTAATTTACTGTATATATACAATAATAATGTAGGAAATGTATGAGCTTAAACTAATATACACATTATCAAGCAGTTGATGTTGCTGAGAGCTGCTTGCCACAGTTTCACATGAGTTTCGGAGGATTTGCTCACATTAATTCAATACAGTCACATTGAGAGCAGCACAGGTTGTTGGGGATCTTGTAGGTAGTTGCTATCATACATGTCTTCTTCTTTCCTGCGAACAAAACTGAACACAAGTTATTGGTAAAATACATCCAAGTGGAACTCAACACAAACTTTTATTTAGGTTAGAAAAACGTTTCATGTTCAAACCACTGAGCCAGTTTATTTTTGGATGAGTTTTGCATTATATTACATTCTGCTTGTGTGTTTATTTAGTAGTAGTTATTATTAGTTAATTTAATTAATTACAGCCTGCCGTGCACTGTAAAATGATTCAGGTGCTTCTGTATTCAGTATGTAAGATATACTTACCACAAGGAGTTTTCTCATAGTACCATTTCTGGTCTTGTTCCTCTCTGTGTCAAACACACATCATCATCAGTGCAAACAACGTACACATTAAATAAATCCCAACTGAAGGCAGAATGTGTTTTTCTTACCCTTTTAGATTTGCAGTACAGTATAAGTCCTGTTAGCAATACAACCACAATGACTCCAACCACCACAGCTACAATAATGCCTGTAACACCAGTCCGACTCACTGAAACAGAGAGAGACAGTTCAGTTAAATGAACTTGAACCAACCAACT